TAATTACAATACAGCCACTGAATAGAACAGCATGGAGCTGTAAGGAAAAAAACCTCTCTTTATGTCCCTATAAAGGAGCTCTGGTGGCACACTGCCGGCATATGACTGCTAACCAGATGGTTGGTGGTTCAAACCCACCAGATGCTCCACGGAAGGAAGACAGAGCAATCTACTTCCATAAAATTTACCACCTCAGAAACCCAGTGGGGGTCATCATGAGTCAGAATCAACTCGATGGCAGTAGGTTTTCTTTTTTTTTTTTGGTTATATGTCTATAAGGAGCTTTGGCGGTGCAGTGCCTAAGACACTTGACTGCTGACCAAGCTTGGCAGTTCAAGCCCCTCAGCTGCCCCGCAGAAGGAAGATGAGGCAGTTTACTTCCATATGGATTTACCGCCTTGGAAACCCAGTGGGGGCTTGCTGTGAGTCACAGTGGACTCGATGGCAGTGGGTTTGGTTTTTTGGTTTTATGTGTCTCTATAAGGGGCCCTGGTGGTGCAGTGATTAAGCACTTAGCTGCTAGCCCAAAGACCAGGGGTCTGAACCCACCAGCTGCTCCACTAGAGAAAGACGTGGCAGTCTGCTTCTGAAAGGATTCATAGCCTTGGCAACTCTATGGGGCAGGTCCACTCTGTCCCCTAGGGTCTTTATGAGTCACAATCGACTACATGGCAACAGATTTGGTTCAGATTTGTTGCTGAATATAGTAATGTGTAAAGATCTCCAGATACCCTAATAACAAGAACAAAGGGTATTCTACCAATTAACAAAAAAAAACTACACTCACCTGCTGTCGAGTTGGTTCTGACTCTTACCAGCCCTTCCTTGGGTTTCCAAGGTGGTAAATCTTTTATCTTCTGAGGAGTGGCTGGTGAGTTTGAACCTCCAGCCTTCTGGTTAGCAGTCAAATGACTTAGGCACTATACCACCAGAGCTCATATATCACCAATAGTATGGACAAATTAAAAGGCCCACGCTTTGGAGCCAGGCAGAACTGGCTTGGAGCCCTGACCCACTGCTTCTGACCCACAGCCCCTTAGACAAGCTTTTTCATGCACCTCATCTGTAAAATAGGGTGTTTCAAAGTAATTTGCCTGAGGAAATGAGGTCCCCTCTCGAAGCCTGTTTCTCTTACTATAAAATAAGACTGGTCAAACCAGCGTGGTATGGCTTTCCATTCCAGACACAGACTACCTACTGTGTGCCAGGACCTCCACAGGGCATCAGGGACCTAGGGGTGACCATGACAGACCTCGTTTAGTGAGAGGCATGCACGCTTATCAAGGAGCAGCAGATATTAACAGAAGGTGACCAAGACCATACTGAAGAACAAATAGGGGAGCTTTGTCTTCCCAGATACCAGGAATTATTACCAAGCTACAGTAACAAAGCCTGTGGTGCTGGCTGAGAACAGACCAGTGGACGAGAACTGAGCTCAGCAAGTGGCCCGCGCCTATAGGAGGCCCTGACTTACGACAGCCCCTAGGTTAGCACACTGTTTCTGTTAAGGGCCAGCTGGCAGATACTTTTTTAGGTTTTGTGGGCCCTATGGTCACTGTCAAAGAGCCCTGGTGGTGCAGCAGTTAAGTGCTGTCACCTAACCAGATCAGCCTTTCAACCCCACCAGCTGCTCCGCTGGAGAGAGATGTAGCAGTCCATTTCCATAAAGATTTACAGCCTTGGAAACTCTATGGGGCAGGTCTACTCTGTCCCATCGGGTTGCTACGAGTTGCAGTGAACTTGACAGCAACACGTTCGGTTTTGGTTTTTATGGTCACTGTCAGCAGTCCCTTGGTGGTGCAAATGGTTAAGTATTTGACTACTAGCCAGAAGGCTGGCGGTTCGAAACCCTATGGAGCCATTCTCTGTACATGACACAACCATGAGTCAGAAATGACTCAACAGCAACTACCAACGATGGTTTCTGTCACAGTGACTTTGTTGTTGTCGTGCCAAAGCAGCTGCAGGCATTTATGAGAGGTAAATGAACATGGCTATGTTCCAATAAAACTTAATTTACAAAAGCAGGTGGTGGGTGGGTTTTGCCAATGAGAAGTAGTACTGACGCCTGTTGAAAATGACTGGGCAAAGGACAGGCTAATCTGTGAGTAAAGCTGAGAGATAGGGAAAAACAGTGGGATTCTGTGGCAGGCAGAATAACGCCTCCTCCCGTTGTTCAGATCCTAATCCTCATGTTACCTTCAGCCAAACCAAACCAGACTCACTGCCCTTGAGTCGGATGCAACTCAGTCAGCCCCTCCTTGGGCTTCCAAGGCAGTATCACTATGGAAGCAGATTGCCCGATTGTGTTTCCTTACACAGGGCAAAAGGGATTTGGCAGATGTGATTAAGTTAAGGGTCTTGAGAGGAGATTATTCTGATGATCCAGGTGGGCCCAACGTCATCACAAAGCAAAAGCAAGCCACTCACTGCCATCGGGTTGATCCCACCTCAGTGACCCCCATTGGGTTTCTGAGGCTGTAAATCTTTATGGAAGTAGATTGCCCCATCTTCCTTCTGCAGAGCTGCTGGTGGATTTGAACCACTGACCTTCTGGTTAGCTGCCAAATTCCTGACATACTGTGCCACCAGAGCTCTTTAATGTAATCAGAAGATTCCTTATATTGAAAAGAGGAAGGAGAAGAGATGTGATGACAGGAGCAGAGGTTGGAGTGATGCAGGGCTACGAGCCTAAGGAGACGGGCAAAGTCTAGAAGGTGGAAAAGGCAAGGAAATGGATTCCTCCTGGGAGCCTCTAAAGGAACTCAGCCCTACTGACAGTGTCATCTTAGCCCACTGAGACATTTCAAGGTGCTTTGGTAGTGCAATGGCAAAGGCAGTCAGCGGCTAACCAAAAGCTCAGTGATTCAAACCCACCAGCTACACCATGGGAGAAAAGGTGAGAGTCTGCTTCCATAAAGATTTGCAGCCTTGGAAACCCTGTGAGGCAGTTCTACTCTGTCCTATGGGATTGCTGTGAGGCAGAATGGATTCGATGATAGTGGGTTGGGTTTGGTTTTAGAGGCTGATTTTGGACTTCTGACCTCCAGAACTCTAGTAAATTTATGTTTTTAAGCCACTTAGTTTGTGGGAATTTGTTACAGTAGCAACAGGAAACTAATATAAAGCCCTGCCTCACACCTTTGAATTATGACATTGACAAAGAATACTGAATATACCATGTGGCCTGCCAGAAGAACAAAAGTGTCTTAGAAGAAGTGCAGCCAGAATGCTGCTTAGAAGAGAGGACAGTGACACTCTATCTCGGGTTCTCTGGACACATTATCGGGAGGGACCAGTCCTGGAGAAGGACGTCATGCTTGGTAAAGTGGCGGGTCAGTGAATAAAGAGGAAGACCCTCATGAGATGGGTTGACACAGTGCCTGCAGCAGTGGGCTCACACACCCAGGGGCTGGGAGGACGGTGCAGGACAGGGCAGTGTTTGGTTCTGCTGGAATGGGGGCGCTCTGGGTCTTCACTGACACTCGGGCACCTAACCACCACCACCAGCTCACACTGTACACAAAAGTCCCCAGTGATTCCAGATCTAAATTTAAAAAGCCAAACTTGAAACTTTAGCTGGAAATACAGGAAAACATCATAGTGACCTTAGAGGTAAAGAAAGTTTAAGACACAAAAAGTTTAGATCTTGGAAGAAGAGACTGGTAAATCTGAGCAAAAACATGTGAAGTTACAACTATGATAGAAAAGAGAGATACAGTATTATAGGAACAGATACACAATTATTTGGAGGTTAGGGAAGGTCATCTTGAGGAGGTAATGTGTGAGCTGAGATCTGAAAATGAGAGGCTGGAACAAGATGGTTTGTGGAAAGTACCCAGTGTGAGGCGCAGGCCCAAGCAGGTCTGTGGAAATTAGCACGTGCTGGCCATCTACTCGGAGGCCTTGGGTCTAAGCCAGGCAAGGATTCCACTCCCACCTCCAAACCCAGAATGCTGCTTGCATCCATATTTACATACAGGGTGCCCTGGGGGATTTCCTCCAAAGCAACCTACCACCATCAATGTTTCAAAGACACAAACTTATCTGAGAGGCATAAATCTGGTCCAACCTTGCCTTATACAAATGGGGAAACCAAGACCTAGAGAGACGGGATTTGCCTACAACTGAACAAGCTAAGCCGGGGTACCTCCTGACCCTCCCTCTGCCTGTCAGGGTCCCGCAGATGGTCCCTCCTTCTCCCGAGTCCCTGTGGAAAGGTCGGTGCTCAGAGAGGCCTTCCCTGATCACCCTGACCGGACCATGCCACCAGTCCTCGTCACTCCACCACACTGCCTGGCTTGATTTGCCCTTGCGGCACTCAAGACTGCAGGATACCCAGTACACAATCGCCTTCTCTCTGCCCCGGCACGATGGGGGGACTTGTGTCTGTGTTTTCACACTGCATCCAGGTGTCTCACACCTGGTGGGGATGGTATTATAATGCTCCTCCCCCACCCCCGCCCCAGACGTGCACATCCTGCTCCCTGGGACCTGTGATTACTATGTTGGGTTATGAGGCAAAAGGGAGTTAGGGAAGCTGATGGAATTAAGCTGGCCCATCTAACCTGAAAATAGGGAGGCAATCCTGAACTACCCAGCTGAGCCCGGTGTAATGGCCAGGGTCCACACACATGGAAGGAGGAGGCAGAGGAGCTGCGACAGACGGATGGGCTGTGAGAAGGGCAACTGGCCACTGCTGCTTTTAGAGACAGAAAGGGAATGGAATGTGGGCAACTACTGGAAGCTGGAAGAGGCTTGAGGAAGCGGCTTCTTCCCTGCGGCTTCCAGAAGGACTGCAGCCCTGCCTACCTTTCGATTTTTAGCCCAGTGATGCCCATTTCAGACTGCTGGCCTCCAGATCTGTAAGATAATAAATGTGTGTTGTTTGAAGGCACTAAGTTTGTGGTGATTTGTTATAGCAACAACATCAAACTAGTCCGGGGTGATGGGTACATGTATGAGTGAATGAACAATGACCGAGAAAATGCAGACTCCGCCACCTCCCCCCTCCCAGATGAAAAAGTAAAGCAAGGGGAAGGGGCCGAGATTGGTGGCCCTTGGTTGGTTAGTGACATGAAAGTTGGGAAGGGCTTGGAATGCGCAGGAAAAGGTTACTCAAAGGCCAGGTATAAAACCCAGTCCTGACCCTACCCTTTGCCATTCTGAAAACCTTCCTGACCCGGGTCCCCACCACCCCCAGGACAAAGTCTGAGCAGCTCCGCCTGGCAGCCACAGACCTTGAGGACAACACCATCCCTGAGAACTTTCTGTAACGATGGTCCTTTCTCCATGTGTGCCCTCTGGTAGCTACGCATGGCTACCAAGCACCTGCAACGTGCTGGTGTGGCTGGAAAAGTGAATCTTCAGCTTCATCTCCTCTTAGTTTATTTAAACAGCCCGTGTGTCTAAGCTACTGTGCTAGACAGCACAGCTGCAAGGACTGGGCAGCTAAATCTGCCCTCAAAGCCGCCTCAGCAAAGGCAGCAAGCCTTCGCCAGCCGCCTTGGCACCAGGCTGGTCCCCACTTCCTGGCCTTTGCCCGTGCCATGCCCCTGCCAGAGCACCACTCCATCCTGCCCCAAACCCAGCTCTGCTCCCTCCTTCAGTGTGTGAAGACTTGAAGGGGGCTGTGCATTTGGGTGGGCCGATTAAAACGCCCCTTCCCTCCTTCACCTCCCACTTTATGTGAGGAACCGCTGCGGACAGCTGTGCAGCCACTTCTGAAAGCCCTGGAGGGATGGAAACAGCCCTGTCTGGGAACCTGAGGCTTCAAGACAGTCACCTGCGGCCCAGGGTCCACAGAAGGACACAGACGCAGGATGGGCTCAGTGCGTCAGGCAAGGCGCGGCACTGTCACTGTCCTGCGTCCTTGCCTCTCTATCCCCACAAGGGGGAGGAAAGGCGCTCTGCCTCGGTCCTTCCCCACCAGACCCCTGATGCAGAGGCCTGTATTCTTCCCGGGGCCCCAGGCCAGGAGTCTTAAGGCAGGCAGCCCTAACTCCTGCCCCTCACAAAAGGGGAACAGAAATCAAACATGAGACCGAAAACTGGGAGCCTCCTGGAGGTTCTGGGAGACTCCCGAGTGAGGGGGCGGCAGCCCGAAACCAAGTCACCTTTATTAAATGCATCCAGTGTGCATGCGTGTGTGTGTGTATGCGGACGTGAGCACGTACTTCAGGCCTGGGGCACCACCCCATACAGCTGGTGGGGCAGTAACTTCTGCTTCTCGTTGCAACTGTAGATCCATCGGGGGCGGACGAAGGCCAGGGACGGGTTGTCTATCAGAGCCTGCCAGGTGCAGTGGGGGTGCAAGTGTGACCGTGTGCACGAGAAGGGGAGAGTGGGGCCGGGGAGGCGACTCAGGCTCTCCCCCTCCCTGCCCCCTGGGGACTCACCTCCTCAAAGCTGGGGTCCCACTCCTGGGCGGTGATCACAAACTGGACCCGGTCGCTCATGTAGTCCTCAAGCTCCCTGTGGGAGATACAGCAGAGGGGCCGTCAGGGAATCGATGCCCCCCGCCTCCCCCCGCCTCCGCCCCCCTCAGCTGCCTGTGGATCCCTACACCCCTAAATGCCTGTCTCACCACAGCCACTGGCTCCCCCATCACTAGTCCTTGTCATGGCCCTTTCCGAGGGGGACGAGGACGCTGGCTTTAGAGCAGAGGAATTCAAGAGGCTTGCCCAGCACAGAAGGCAGGACTGGCACCCGAGCCTCATGCCTATGCCACCCTGCCAGGGCGCCCCACCCTGTCCTCCACGTTGTCCTCCTTCCCGCAGCCCCCTCCCCCATCCCCGAGCCCATGCCAACCATGGGGGCTCTGACCCGTTGAAGGCTGTGACGTATCGAGTGAGTTTCCGCCGCTCATCCCCGGGAAACTCTCCGTAGAGGAAGAAGTGTTTACCCTGGAAGAAGTCTGCAGGAAGAGATGGGAGGAGAGCTGTGAGGCCGCTGCAGTTCCGAGACCCCCGCCAGGGGTGACACACTTGGGGCCAAGATAGGGAGGCTGGTTCTGGGGAGAGAGGCGTTCGCACCCCGGCAGAGAATCAATGACAAGCCCACCCAGTGACCTGCCAGAGCCTCCCAGGGAGAGTATTCATTTTTGTTTTAATGGTAAAAGATGCAAGTATGGTTACTGCAACCTGCAACGCCCCAGAAGGCAAACCTCCGACGGGGCTGCAGTTCAGGAACAGAAGAGCTGGCATGTCTCCCCTCGCGGGGCCAGTGCCTCTCTCGTTCTGACCTCAGGTGGCTCTTCCTTCTTCGCATTTTAATGATTTTCCAGCCATCAGTTTGCTGATGCCACTTGTTACAGGCTAAATCGTGCCTCCAAATAATGTGGGCTGAAATCCTGGCCGCCATACCTGTACGTATGACCCCGTATGGAGATAGGGTTTCCTGGGATATGATCAATGAGGTCACAGCCGAGTAGGGTGGGTTCTGAATCTAATCACTTCTGAGTTATAAACAGAGCAGATGGAACACACACTCAGGCAGGCAGACAGACAACGGAGACAGACATTCCACGAGGAGGGCTGGCAGCTACCAGACACTGCTACAGATGAGGCAGGACCTCCCCACAACCCACACCCTGAATGTGGACTTCCAGCCTCCTGAACCGTGAGAAAATACATTCCTGTGCGGTGGTGTGTTATGGCAGCACTGGGACACTGAGACATCACCTCTGGGGCTGTGGAGGCTCACAGGACTTTGCCCATCACCCATCAGGTGGAAGACTCTTCCAGGGGCCACTGACCCGCCCATCCGCTGGGACCCTCCAACTTCATTTCTTCTCCATCCATTCTCAACCCCCCATCTCCGCCCTCTTGCAGTTTTTTTTCCCCATCTTTTGTTTCTTATTGTTTTACATCAGAAAAGCACACACCCAGTGTCCACTCCAGGGTGACAAGTACCAATGACATGAACACCTTGTGACCACCACCTAGGTCCCCAGCACAGACCGACAGAACTGAACCTAGAGGTGGGCCCAGGCATCTTCACACCCCCAGGTGGCTGTAACACCCAGGGAAGGTGAGAGCACTGGCCTGAGGGAGGGGCCACTCACCCCTGGATGTGGGAGGGCTAGGCTGTGCCAGGGTGGGGTGGCAGGCTGGGGTTAGGACAGGGAGGGCAGTCAGAGAAGATGCTGAAGGAAAGGAGAACCTGCCTGGGAGACCGGAGGCAAAGGCAGCAGTGAAGGGGGGAAGGGGAGAGCAGTCATGGGCAGCGGTGCTCCCAGGGGACAGCAGTGACCCCAGGGGACAGCAGTGACCCTAGAGGGTCAGCAGTGACCCCTGGGGATCAGCATTGCTCCCGGGGGGACAGCAGTGATCCCAAGGGGGACATCAGTGCTCGTGCAGGGACAGCAGTGACCCTGGGAGGTGAGCAGTGACCCCAGAGGCCATCAGTGACCCCGGGAGACAGGAATGACCCAAGGGGACAGCACTGATCCCAGGGGTAAAGCAATGATCCCAGGGGAACAGGAGTGACCCTGGGGGGTCAGCAGTAATTCTGGGGGACAGCAGTGCTCCCAGGGGGGGACATTAGTGCTCCCAGGGAGACAGCAGTGGCCCCAGGGCTGAGGGGAGTAATTCACAGCTGAGGGGGGAGAGGGACAACCCCCTGGGGAGGGAGAGGGGTCCTGACCTGGGAGCTCGGGGACCGGCAAGGTAGGGGACTCCGGGTGACCCTCGCTGTCTGTGTTCTCATCCGTGGAGCCTGCGTAGGGGTCCTCGCCATTCTCCCCCTGGCCTGGGGGCTGCCTCTGCTCCCTCTGCTCAGCCACCCTGGAGAGCCAAGAGGGGTGGGAGATTGGCATGCAGACCCCGACACCCTAGGCTGGGCCACCTAACCTTCAGCCCCAACCCTACCTTCTCAGCTCATCCTCGGTGTCCCCAGAGTCTTCCGCCCCATTGTCCTGTCCTTCTGCAAGGGGAGCCACAGTCAACATGAGCCAGCTATCTTGTCTCCTGGAGACTGGTGGTCCTCCCAGTCCCTAAGCACCTCCTCCCTCAGACCCAGGGGTCCAGGCCCCCAGCACCCTCCTCCCTCAGACCCAGGAGTCCTGCCCTCCTCCTCCCTCAGACCCAGGGGTCCAGGCCCAGCCCCTCCTCCCTCAGACCCAGGGGTCCAGGC